TCCTATGTCAGCTTCTCAAAGTGCCAGGATTACAGTCATTAGCCACCATCCCTGGCTCACCAAAATCTTCAACAATAACATATATTTTTTCCAAATCTACTCTATAAATATTTTATACCTGTAAGGTAGACATATAACAAATCTATAACATAATTTTATTTTATATGTGTAAAAACAAAATAACATAGCACAGACACTACAATTGTTACTGTATAAGGTATTCAAGCACGTGAATATCAACAAAAACTGAAACTGGGAGACAATGTTGAGAAATAAAAATAGTTATCAGTGGAATAATGGATGAGTTTTATTTTTTATTATGTAATTATGATTATTAATATTTTTGAGACAATCTCAAGCAGTCACCCTGAGGCATTGCCCTGGCATCATATCTCACAGCCACCTCCAACTCTTGGGGTCAAGAGTTCTCTTGCCTCAGTTGTTTTATTTTTAGTACAGACAGAGTCTCACTTTTTGCTCCGGCTGGTCTTGAACCCTTGAGCTCGAGCTATCCCCCTACCTCAGCCTCCCAGAGTGCTAGGATTATAGGCGTGAGCCACCGCACCTGGCCAAGGTTATTTAAAATTTATTTTTCTTTAATGCATATTAAAGAAATTTATAAGGAAATGCTGGGGTTATTTATTGAGCTCTCTCATAGTTCAATAGAAACAAAATACGCTCACATCATCCCTCTCCTGTCGTTGTGATTAATCCGTTCTTCATGTTGTTGCCTCTCTGCAGTATGCCCTGACTGCCGGGAAAACTTTCCTTCCAGATTATTGTTATTTATTCCCCTTGTTCTTTTTAACCTGTTTCCTCAAATCATGTGAAAGAGGTTGTAGAGAGACAGATGGTAGATGTTGTGTAGATTTTAGCTGTAATAAATAGCTAGGTTGACTCTTGTTAAGAATGACAATTTTTATAACACTGCTATCCAATAGTGTCTATTAATTTAGGAGTCCCAAATGCTTTAAAATTTCTAAAAATCGCCATGTATGCTATAAACCTGGCTTTTCTTTAGGTTTCTCTATTTCTCAGAATTCTTCAAGTTTTTATGGATTCTAACATTTGCTCTCATACCAGTACTGTACAACTTCTATTCAATCACCGGGATTGATCTCTATTCTTTGCCACCATCTGAGTGACCCTTTGAATCCCTTCTATATTAGTTTTCCCACCCTCATCTTCTTGTTTCCTGCTTGCCTGTACACTGCTGCCACATCATGTGGACAGGAGAATTCTCCCCATGTTACATCTGTTTTAAAATAGCGAAGGGGCTCCTGTTTGGCCACTAAATTAAGTGTAATCTTCGTGGCTCAAGTTTGGAAACCCTCTGTACTTTGTAGCATACTTCCTCATGATTATTCTTACCCTGCAAACCAACACACCAAAAACGGACTCTTGTTCCCTGTGTCTTTGCTTGAAATGTTTCCCTCATCTGGAAATCCACCCTCATTTCTGACCTAGCCATTCATTTCAAGATTACCCTTTCCACCATACCTTTTCTTATTGTTCCAAATGGAATTGACCTCCATCCTTTCAAAATATATATAACCCTGCTTATGTTCCTTTATGCATAATGTCCTTTCTACTAATAAAGAGATATTGAATGGGTGATAGATTGTGTGAAGCCAAAACCAGCTCTTTTCTTATCTTTGTACAAACCAAAGGTATCTACCACAGATCACTGGACTATTCATTGGGTGGACTGAAAGGCTAGCTCCAAAGCTTAATAGGGAAATTTAATGTGATTAAAAGGAAGAGATTTTGTTTTTCTGTTTATCTTTTTAAGTTTTTAGAATTTTTCATTATTAGGTGTATATAATATTGGTATATATTTAACAGGTACATCTGATGTTTTGATCCAGACATACAATTTATAATTAAAATTAGAGTAATTGATATATCCATGACCTCAAGCCTTTATTTTCATGTTAGAGATATTCCACATCTGTTCTTCTAGTTATTTTAAAGTATACAAACTTTAAAGGAACTCATTGTTGATTACAGTTACTTTGTTATGCTGTCAAGTATTGTTCACTATATCTAACTAACTATATTTTCATACCCAGTCCCCATGGTCCCTTCATTCCCTTCTTACCGCTACCTTTCCCAGCCTCTGGTAATCACCCTTCTACTCTCTATCTCCATGAAATTAATTATTTTCATTTCTCCCTCCTGTATATGAGTGAGAACCTGAAATATTTGTCTTTCTGTGTCTGGCCTATTTCATTTAATATAGGGTTCTCCAATTCCATCCCTGTGGCTAAAATGACACAATTTTTTTCTACTTATTTATTTTTTCAGAATTACATGGATACACATTTTTTGGTTATATGAGTTGATTTTGTACAGCTTGAGTCAAAGTTATAATTATGGCCATATAGAGATAACCTCAAAGAACTAAAAGTACGCCTATCTATTTTTATGGACAAAGAATATTCCACTGTGTATGTATACCACATTTAATTTATCCATTCATCCATTCATGGAGTTTTAGGTTGATTTGAAATCCTCCCTATTGTGAATAGTGCTGCAGTAAATATGGGGAGTGCAGATTTCCTTTCTGTTGTATATATACCTACACTGGCTTGCGTGGTCATATGGTAGTTCTATTTTTAGTTTCTTGCGGGATCTTGGTACTGTTCACCATATTTTCATTAACTTACATTCCCATCAACAATATTGAGGGTTCTTCATTCTCCACATTCTCATCAGCTTTTGTTATTGCCTATATTTGGATAAAAAACTTTTTAACTGAAGTGACGTGATATCTAATTTAGTTTTAATTGGCGATGACTAATGATATTCAGCATTATTTCATATAGCTCTTGGGTATTTGTATGTTTTTTGTATTTTTGAGAAAGTTTATTAAGCTCCATTGCCCATTTCATAATCAGATTATTTGATTATTTCCTACTGAGGTATTGTAGCTCCTTACACATTCTAGTTATGAAGCTTTTGTCAGGTGGGGAGTTTGCAAATATTTTCTCCTCTTCTTCCATTTCCACTTTGTGGATTTGCTTCTTTTACTGTGCAGAAAGGTTTAACTTAATGTCATTCCATTTGTTGAATGTTCACTGTGTTTGCCTGTGCTTTGGCGGTACTACTCACTAAGTCCTTGCACAGAACAATGTCCTGATGTAGTTCTCCAATGTTTTCTTTTAGTAGTTTCATAGCTTCAGGTCTTAGATCTAAGTCTCCAATCCATTTTGATTTAATTTTTGCACATGGTAAGAGCTGGAGTTCTAGTTTCACTCTTTTGCGTACGCACATCCAGTTTACCACTGTCCTTTTCCCAAAGAATGGTTTTGGAATCTTTGTCAAAAATGAGATCACTGTGGAAGTGTGGATTTATTTCTTGATTCTCTATTAAGTCCATCTTTTTGTCCATTATTATCCCAATACTATGCCTTTTGGTTCATTCTGCTCTGCAGCCTAATTTGAAATCAGGAATGTAATTCCTACAGTTCTATTCTTTTGCTCAGGATGGCTTTGGTTATTCTAGCTCTTTTGTGGTTCAATATACATTTTAGAATTATTAATTATTGTTTTCATTCCTAGAGATACAGAGGGTAAGTCAGAGGTAAGAGTCTGAAACAAAGAGAAGATGAAAGAAAAAGAGAGTATGAGAAAGGAAAAGAGACTTCTGGAATTCAAACAGTGAAGCTAACTATTTTAAAGTAAAACACAGAGAAATCTATTTACTTTATGTTTTTATGTGTGTGTGTGTATATGTGTATACATATATGAAATCTGTTATTCCCATTATCCATCTTTTGGGTAATTTTATATAGAAATTTTATGTTTACTTTAATAAACTTAGTTGCTTTATTTTTGGTTTTTCAATTTTAAATTGTATTACTAATATTCTTTTTTACCTTTAATAATCACTTCTGTTTGTTATCCTTGGTTCTTATTTTTATGAATATATTATTTTTTTGTGAAAATGATCCTTTGATAAACCACACAATTGTCTTTGGAAAACGAGGAGAGTGCTTTGTAGAAAGTACTACAGGTGGAAACCCTGGGAGAGATTGGAGCAGTGTGACCTGATCATGTCTCAGGCTCATTCTTCCTGTGCCTCCAGTGGTTAGAAACATCGTTTCTTCTTCCTGCACCATCCAATGTGATCAAAGTTTCAGACTCAGGCAAATTAGTTTTCACTAGTTGACTTTTGTCTACCCTCACCAGTATGCACATGCATGATTGTTAACACCAATATTTAAATTAGTTCTGCTCAAGAAACAGGCACCTAGTCGAATGGATATTAGACATGCCTGCAGTGATATTTACATGCGTTAGTCATAACATAATCATTGTCTGAGTAGATCCAGAAAACTGCTTTCTTTTCTTTTATTATTTTTTAATTTAGGGTTCCAAAAATGAAGAATTAAATAATAATACTTAGTGTTTGCATAGGTGAAAAGCGGAGTTTGATTAGTTTGTGAAGCATTGGGATAAATTATGAAGGGTTATAAAACATTTTTTCATACTGAGCAAATGAAGTGTGCTCCTGTTTTCTCAGGTATACCAGAGGTAAAGAGAAAAAAAAGCATTTGTAGGGTGGCACTTGTGGCTCAAAAGGGTAGGGCACCAGACCCATATGCCGGAGGTGGTGGGATCAAACCCAGCCTTCCCCCCCCAAAAAAAAAGAAAAGAAAAGCATTTGTACTTTTTATTGAACTAGGATCCTTGAAATAAAACGAAATCCTTATTATAGAATAAATTATTGTTTTCAGTTGATAAGTGATCCCATTGGATGTCATTAATGAAGAATTGAGTCGAAATAATTTTATTTGATTTAAATGTTAAGTATTTTCAAGATACAACTCTTAACACCTCTGTTATATGCAAATTTCCATTCTATTATTTTTCTTTGAGCACAGTTTTGCTATTGTAGCATGCCTTAGTATAACCATATGAATTTCTTTATTGAATCTTTTTCTCTTGTTTGTAATGATCTCTTTCTTTCTTTCTTTCTCTCCATCTCTCTCAAGCCTCAGCAAAGCCCTCCGGGAAACAGTGAGAATTCTCAAGTTGAGTCAACAAAGGACGGAAATCCCAGTGCCACTGTGTGTGATTCTCAAGACGTAAGACTAACTTAAAATGTTTGTAATAGCCATAGACACAAAAACAAGGACAGATGTATTGTAGCAATTCAAGTTCATGTCACTGTGAAACTGTCTACTATCTAAATATTGCACTTTTAAATGTGAGAAAGCAAATTTCTTTGGGTGTGAATCAGGTTAGTGTTCCATTCAGAAATATAAGTTCTTATTCAGGTAAGCAGGTGATCAGTCCCAGAAATGTGTACATCCCCACAATCACATTACAAAAAGCTGTTAATATGTTACAAAAAAAAAAATAAATAACCTCCACAACAGAGTGTGAAGTTCTACTGATTCTAAAGTATTTACTCTCTGCCTAAAGCAAATAAACCAAACATTATAGAGACATAAAGAAGATTCTTAATCTTTTAGTGATAAAAGGAAATATGGATTTTGTTTCTCGTGGTTTTTCAGTCATAACACATACAATGAAATTTTATTTATTGAACTTCGGCAGAATTAAGCTTATGGGACCGTCATGTTTAGTTTTGAAAGCCAGCAAAAGGATAACAGTTCTGTTGACAAGATTCAAAGTTCCACTTTATTCAAAATGGAAAGTGTCTGCTGAACCTATTTATTTCAAATGAAAGAAGTCAAGCTTCAGCTAAAAAAAAAAAGAGAGAGAGAGAGAATAGAAAAATAAGTTTATCAAGTCATTTATTTTTCCTTTGCTGCCTGCCAAAGTGGATAAAAAATTAATTTCTCAATATTTTTGCCTTAAATCTTTGTATATTTAAATATGTATCAAAACCACACAGTTGAGAACATGATATTAATAAGAAGTGGAAATAAAGTGCTCTGCAATTTCTTTCCAAGGGAGAAAGGTGTCAAGAGGCTTCAGGTAGCAAGAAATTATTTTTGCTGTAGTTTGAAGAATGGATAGGTCTTTGACATTATTCACAAATTCATACAGGCAAAAAAAATCACAGTGGGGTGGTTAGAATATATTGAGTGTAGAAAGTGGCAGAATATATAACTACAAATATAATTTGGAACTAGAGAATGAGGGGCATTGCATTCCCCAGATAAGGAGTTTGATCTGAAATTGAGAGATAAGGGTTTCCAATGTTTGTATCTAATGGAGTGACAAGACCATGGTGTTAATTTTAAGGACACTGTTTTTGTTGCTTGATACTTTTTTCTAAAACTACACAGTGCATGTTCCCATCAAAGTAAGCTTGAAAAATTATGTGTAGCTTGCTAATGTTCCCCAAAGCAACTTTCTGGTCTACCCTTTTCAGAAGGCGTGGGGGCTGCTCAAAATCACAACTTGTTTTATGTTGTTTGTTTTACTCTCCTTCTACTGTGGTTGTTTTGCTTTGTCTGCGGTGACTCCTCTCCTGTCATAAATCTCATAAGCAGCTACTACCTTGGTCTGCTCTCAATCTGGATCTCCGTGTCTTCAAAAGTCTGCCTTCACTGGCACAAACATGAATGCTCTCTCTCTAACCTCACCTCTGTCCTCTAGACTTTGGTTTTTGGAAGCTGCCCAGAGGATGTTCAGTATTGAAAGCCTGCAGATATGTTTACAGTTACAGACCAAGAAAGTAATATAATGAATGAAATAAACTGGATGTGAGGAGTAGAAATGAGTGCAACTTGTGTGAGTATCAATTTTTAAATGCTAGAACAGTGATTCTTAGCCCTATCTTCAGAACACTTTCAACAGAAGAGCTCTTAAAAAATACTGATGCCCAGGACCAAGTCAGCATCTTGGACATGATTGTATTTACTTTTTAATTTCTCCAGGCAATTATAATCTACAAGTTAATTTTACTAAAAATGGATTTTCCATGTAAAAGAGCATTAGAAAATTATCTGGTGAGATTTTAAAAATTAATAGCAATTCGTCTGGAAGTTTCAAACATTCAAATAAATAACATAGAGGGCTATTTTTCTTTAACTTGTCTACCTCACCCAGAATATTCTGAGTTGTTTTTATTGAGAAATATTGATATTTCTTTACTAACATCTATGATTTCTGTAATTATTTCAAAATCTTTATATGTATTGTTTTTTAAAAGTAATTTCTTACCCTGTCTCTACAAAACAATAGAAAATTAATTGAGTATGGTGGTGTGTACCTATAGTCTCAGCTGCTTGGAAGGCTGAGGCAGGAGGTTCACTTGAGCACAGGACTCTGAAGTTGCAGTGAGCTATGATCATGCCATTGTCCTCATGGTTGGGCAATAAAGCAAGACCCTGACCCTAAAAAACAAATAAACAGAAAAAAATCTCATCTTTTAATGTCTTCTGTAGTTTAACTATGGACTTTATAATTTCATCTTCTCTTATCTTTTACTATATCAAATGTACTTTTGTAAATTTTTTTAGGGATTGCCTTTAAGTTTGGAATATACCTTTAGAGCAATCCACATTCACTTTTAAATTACACTTCACAGATTGTACAAGTACCTTGTAATGCAGTATTTCCAATTTCTCCCTCCCATTTCTTATGACATTGTTGTCATTCATTTGACTTAACAGTAAGTTATAAACACCTGTGGTCTTTTAGATCAATTAAGATTAAAACAATTTTATAACACATTGTTTTACCTTTCTTTTCTTTTCTTTTTTTTTTTTTTTTTTTTTTTTTTTTTTTTGGTTTTTTTGGCC